AGCTGTATGGAAAAACATCATCTGAAATAGAATCGCTGCTCAACACTGTCTGTATATATAGCCAAGATATTGTAATGGAGTTTGGCTTGGACAAATGTGCCACACTTACTATCAAACAAGGAAAAATAGTGAAAACTGAAGGAATCAAGATGCCCCACGAAAATAACATTAAGAGTCTGGATGAGGAAGAGTACTACAAATACTTGGGTATCCTTCAAGCTGACAACATCAAGCACACTGAAGTCAAGAAAAAGATTAGAGGTGAATACATCAAGAGAGTGAAGAAGATCTTAAAGTCCAAACTCAATGGAGGAAATACCATAAAGGCAATCAACACCTGGGCAATCCCAGTCATTAGGTACACAGCTGGAATAGTGGACTGGACTCAAGCAGAACTAAAAGCAATGGATAGGCAGACCAGAAAAATAATGACAATGAATCATGCCCTTCATCCACGCAGTGACAGACTTTATCTACCAAGGCAAATAGGTGGGCGTGGAATGCTACAAGTACATCAGATGGTTGAAGAAGAAAAAATGGCTTTGGAAGAATATCTGAAGAACAATGATGAAGATGCACTGAAATTAGTATATCAGGAAGGCTTACTAACTACTGGAGAGACCAAACTGGCCTACAAGAAAGACCAAATGAAGAACAGAATAGAGGCATGGGAAGACAAAGCACTACATGGCCAATACATGAAAAAAATAGCTGGGAAAGCAGATAATAATAAAACCTGGCAATGGCTAAGAGCAGGAAAATTGAAGAAAGAGACCGAGGGACTAATTCTGGCTGCACAAGACCAAGCCTTAAGGACAAATGCATACAAAGTCAAAATTGAGAAGACAGCAACAGACAGTAAGTGCCGCCTATGCAAAGAAGCTGAAGAAACAGTGGACCACTTGGTAAGCTGTTGCAAGAAGATTGCACAACTGATTACAAGCAGCGGCATGACAAAGTAGCAACAATGGTGCATTGGAAGATCTGCAAAAAATATCATTTGCCTGTAAGCAAAAACTGGTGGGATCATAAAATAGAGAAAGTCATAGAAAATGATAAAATTAAACTGCTCTGGGACTTCAGAATTCAAACAGACAAGCACCTGCAACATAACACCCCAGACTTAACAATTGTCGATAAGAAAGACAAAAAAGTCTGGATAGTGGACGTGGCAGTGCCTGGAGACAGCAGAATAGAAGAGAAAGAACTGGAGAAGATAACAAAATACAAAGACCTACAAATAGAAATAGAAAGACTGTGGCAAAAGCAAGCAAGGGTAGTACCAATAGTCATAGGCTCCTTGGGTGCAATCCCAAAACAACTGGAGCACCACTTGAACACCATTGGCATTGACAAATTCGCTATTAGTCAATTGCAAAAGGGCCTTAGGAACTGCTTCCATCCTGCGACGATATCTGTAATACCATCAAACATCCACATCTGCCTATCCCAGGTCCTGGGTAAGGACTCGATAGGTAGACAAAATGCCAAATCCAGTCTGAACATCTGGCTGACTGTGCGATTAATAATAATAATAATAACAATGATGAAGATGCACTGAAATTAGTATATCAGGAAGGCTTACTAACTACTGGAGAGACCAAACTGGCCTACAAGAAAGACCAAATGAAGAACAGAATAGAGGCATGGGAAGACAAAGCACTACATGGCCAATACATGAAAAAAATAGCTGGGAAAGCAGATAATAATAAAACCTGGCAATGGCTAAGAGCAGGAAAATTGAAGAAAGAGACCGAGGGACTAATTCTGGCTGCACAAGACCAAGCCTTAAGGACAAATGCATACAAAGTCAAAATTGAGAAGACAGCAACAGACAGTAAGTGCCGCCTATGCAAAGAAGCTGAAGAAACAGTGGACCACTTGGTAAGCTGTTGCAAGAAGATTGCACAGACTGATTACAAGCAGCGGCATGACAAAGTAGCAACAATGGTGCATTGGAAGATCTGCAAAAAATATCATTTGCCTGTAAGCAAAAACTGGTGGGATCATAAAATAGAGAAAGTCATAGAAAATGATAAAATTAAACTGCTCTGGGACTTCAGAATTCAAACAGACAAGCACCTGCAACATAACACCCCAGACTTAACAATTGTCGATAAGAAAGACAAAAAAGTCTGGATAGTGGACGTGGCAGTGCCTGGAGATAGCAGAATAGAGAGAAAGAACTGGAGAAGATAACAAAATACAAAGACCTACAAATAGAAATAGAAAGACTGTGGCAAAAGCAAGCAAGGGTAGTACCAATAGTCATAGGCTCCTTGGGTGCAATCCCAAAACAACTGGAGCACCACTTGAACACCATTGGCATTGACAAATTCGCTATTAGTCAATTGCAAAAGGCGGCCTTATTAGGAACTGCTTCCATCCTGCGACGATATATCTGTAATACCATCAAACATCCACATCTGCCTATCCCAGGTCCTGGGTAAGGACTCGATAGGTAGACAAAATGCCAAATCCAGTCTAAACATCTGGCTGACTGTGCGATGATCAATAATAATAATAATAATAATAATAAAGTTGGAAGGGACTTTGGAGGTCATCTAGTCCAACTCCCTGCTCAGGCAGGAAACCCTATACCCAGGGCTCTTTTTGTCATAGAACGCCCAGAACAGAGTTCCGGCACCTTTTTTGGATAGAACCTTGTATGGTAGGCAAGGCGGGTTGTATGACATGTGTGAGTTCCGGCACCTTATTTATTTATTTATTTATTTATTTATTTATTTATTTATTTTTTACAAAAAAAGCACTGCCTATACCATTTCAGACAAATGGCTGTCTAGTCTCTTCTTAAAAACTTCCAGTGTTGGAGCATTCACTGCTTCTGGAGGCAGGTTGTTCCACTGGTTAATTGTTCTAACTGTCAGGAAGTTTCTCCTTAGTTCTAGGTTGCTTCTCTCCTTGATTAGTTTCCATCCGTTGCTTCTTGTCCTGCCTTCTGGCGCTTTGGAGAATAGCTTGACTCCCTCTTCTTTATGGCAGCCCCTGAGATATTGGAACACAGCTATCATGTCCCCCCTCGTCCCTCTCTTCGTTAAACTAGACATACCCAATTCCAGCAATTGTTGTTTATATGTTTTAGCCTCCAGTCCCCTCCAGTTGCTCTTCTCTATACTCTTTCTAGAGTCTCAACTGTTCTTCAGTGCTGTGATATTCTTCGTTTTCTTAATTTTTGACTCAGTAGAGACTTTTGAATAGATTGACATCCCTGGAGAGTGGTTAACCTGAAATCAGAGGGTTACCAATGTTCTTTCCCTCCTTGAGTTCAGTACAGCTGGAAAGACGATTTCCACATGAAAATCAGCAAAAGGGAAAAGATCAAGTTCTCTTTTTTTCCCTTACATCACTCTTTTTCTAGTGAAGATTTGAATCTCTATGATTCCTTTAGGTAAGTCATCAGGAAGAACTACATATAATTAACGCTACTTTGAACTTTAATGGCTGTCCCATTAGGGTAGGGATTGTGAGCAATTGTGACTAACTTTGATGTAAGATACTTGATGTGCAGAGGCTTATCTACAGCATAGTCATTTCAGATTTCTGAGTTCGGTGGAAATATATGCTGTTAATGAGTTCCTGCTGAGGGCACAACATTGCCACACGAAGAGAATGCCTCCACCAACAAAGTGACAGGGCAGAAGGAAACTCTTTGCTATCTTTCTTGTTTTGTTTTTGTCAACTGCTTTAGATCTTGTGATTTTAGACAGAGGGTGTGATAGAAGGTGGGGAAGTGCTTGCCCTACATTTGACCACACAGAGAGACTTGGGATTCCCAACTTTGAACAGAGCTGGCTTTTTAGGGAAAGGAGTCTGTTGTCATCTTAAGGTTCCTAGAATTTGGTCTTACAGGGCTAGAATTGTATCCAAGGGAGCCAGCCATCAATTACCTTAACAGGACTATTCAGCAAGTTAGTGACATGAAGTCTGCAAACACTGGGAAACTGGATGGATCATGGTTTTGGTCCAAGAATACTGTAGACTAAATGAAGAAACTGCTGTCCTTTCACCCACTAGATATACAAAAAAGAGGATGCCTAGCCATCAAGCTTTACTCCGGCTGTGGAGGAAACAGAACACTGGAGATTGTTGATTCTGTTACAGTTTTGGTGACCTTTTCTTGGAGGGTGGTCCTTGGACACAAATAACAGAAAACAAAAACCATCTAGCTTCGGTAGCACTGGGAGTTTGGAAGGTAAGATCCAGAGAGAGAGAGAGAGAGAGAGAGAGAGAGGGAGGGAGGGAGGGAGGGGAGAGAGAGAGAGAGAGAGAGAGAGAGAGAGAGAGAGAGAGAGAGAGAGAGAGAGAGAGAGAGAGAATTGGAAAATGAAGTTCGAAAGCCATCCAGCAATCTTTCTTTCAGCAACAGAATGCCGATGAAATATTAAGGAACTAGAAGAATTTGTCCTGGGGCACCTTAAAAGCAAAGAGGTTTGTTTTCATATCCTTGCTGTCGAGCAAACCTTTCTGTTGCACAAGTAGAGTTGGGTTGGGCTATGTCTCGATGCTTAGCATCCACCCTTTTCCTGTGGGTGGGAACCTCAAAAAAAAAAAAAAAAAGTACTGGGAAGAAATGGAGAAGAGATTTGGCTACCCGGGCTGTTCTTGCCCGTGCAGGTGTGCATAATGCGCAGGAATGCCAGACAGACCTGAGTCACAGGTAACCTCCCCTGCATACATACAACACGCCTAATCACACCTGAGATAAAGAGAAAACTACTTCTTTCCGACTTTACTTGCCTAACAGCTATAGGTGCTGCTACTAGGAACTCCTGGAGAAAAGAAAAACAAGCCAGAGTGAGTTCTAAAAAAAAAAAAAAAAAAAAAAACAGTGGCAGCAGCCACAAAAAGGTGAAGGGGGTGGAAAGGTGTGAGACAACCCTGGATCAGAAGCAACCTTGAAGAGGCTTGAAGAGGTGGGTCAAATTGATGAGCCCCTTCCTTCCTTCCTTCCTTCCTTCCTTCCTTCCTTCCTTCCTTCCTTCCTTCCTTCCTTCCTTCCTTCCTTCCTTCCTTCCTTCCTTCCTTCCTTCTTCCTTCCTTCCTTCCTTCCTTCCTTCTTTCAACTTTGCATCTGAAATAAAACTGGACTATGCAAAAGGGGGAGGAGAGGAAGAGCCAGGGGGAGTCAGGATAAGCCAATCTTACATTTGAAAATGACAATGCAGCAGTGAAAGGAGCCTCTTTCTCTCTCTCTCTCTCTCCCCCCAACACACACACATGCACACGCACACACGTACATCCCTTGCCACTGGAGGAAGTTGTTGGCTGGATGTGTGGGTAACTGTTCTTTGGATTGTTGCACAGGATTTGGACTTTGAAATGGACCCAGCATGAATGAGGTTTGTGGCAAAAAAAAAAAAAAAATTGTTCTCGGTCCCTGCACTTATTTTTGATTATGTGTTTATTTATATTACTTTTTAAAAAAAAAAAAATGTAATGATTAATCGGAGCGAAAAGTGAAAAGAAACACAGGGCTTCGTGCACAGGTAAGCCAGAGACAAAACCGTTGAGGTAGTTCTGTGTTTTTTTTCTACTTTAAAGTTAGAATGGAAGTTGCACTCCCTCTTTGCACAGTTTGAACTTGGCACAAGTTCTTGATCAGCCAGTTTGATGCAGTAAAACAGAGCGTTTTCTCCCCCCCCCCCTCGGTCTCTTGCTGGGAGACTCCTTTTTATCTGAATTAACCAGGCTAGTCATGTAATTCCTTTGCATCCACATACCCATGCAATTTCTCTTTCTCTCTGTGTACATTTCCAGAGGACATTAGAAAATTACAGGGAAGATGGCTATCAACAATAACGTTAACTTCTGAAACGGAGGAAGGTGAACTTTTCCTGAATGAGAATGTTAACATTTCCCCCTCACAATATTCTTGTATTTTTAACAACTTCATAGCTGGACCTGGCATAGCAGTACAGTGAGAAACAGTTTCCCTTAATTAATCAATTTCAACCTGTCGTGCCATTTGTTAAATTTGTTAAAAGTGGAGAAGAATGGGGGAGAGAGGGAGGATAATAGTAACTCTCCTAGCAGTTAGAAGATAGAGATTGGATATTTTTAATGTGTTATCAATGTTTAAGGCTCTAGGCATGGATTCACATGCCATTTTTATTTCTCTTAAGCCCCTTTCTGATTTGATTGTTGTGTAATTGAGAATAACATAATGGATAATAAAAAAGAATGTACTTGTCCAGATTTCGGATGTTAATGTGTTTAGGAAAGGCGTAAGAATGAGGAAGCTAAGTAGATTAACAGTGTGCATGAGATTTAAGATAATTTGGATAGATTGTTTGAATGTGAGAAGTAGTTTAAACTAGATAAAGCAGCAGATCTGGAAGAAGGACAGGTAAAAGTGAGGTTATAGGATGACGGACAGATATGATATTGGTCTGCATATAAGGAAGTCACTAAAAATCAGCTCCAAAACTTCTAGTCAATTCTAGAGCTCAACTATAATATGGATCCTTGAGAATTAAAAAGTGAAGTTAAGAGCATATTCATAGTATATTTCTCTTTACCACTAAGCTCACTTTCAGGTTAGAGAGACAATTTGGATGTTAGCTGAGGAAGGATTCAGTTAGCTACCAATATCTGTTCTGGTTTGCAATATTACCGTAGATATCAATTTTTCTCTAATGGAAAAACTACCAGTGTATTGTCTGCAATGCCAATTGATTATATCTGTATAAATTATTGGAAAAACAGCAGCCACGGCAATAGGTCACATTTCAGATCTCCAAGAAGTGTTCCTGAGTTCTCCCCCATATAAAAGTTGTCAAAATGTCATACGTTTTGGTAATTTGGGAAGGAGGGAATATCTCAGCCACAGAAAGACAAGACCCAAATAGATTGCTGACTCCTTTACAGTTTAGCAATACAAGACAAATCAGAAGATGTTTCTGATAAAGAAAAGGGCTGTACTGGCTTTTACTGTATATAGTTAGAGCACAGCATTTTACAACAGCCATACTTAAAGTATTATCTGTGATGTGACATCTATGACAACAGAGGAATGCAACAAAGGAAACAAGAGTTGTCTCGTGTGTCTAATTGACACCTACTTTGTATGCAAAGTTGAGTCCTACCATTTCCCTCTGTCCATTTAATACTACATCAAGCTGAACTGCAGTCATAACAAAATCTGCAAAAAAAAAGTCTTTTAGAAAATATGTAATTTTTAACTTTATTTATGATGAGAAGGCTGGTCATGTAAATGTATTCATTAGCTACTGTAGAAGGAAGGAAAATGAGAATTGTCAAACGGAATGACTGTTTGGGGGGAACTATGTTTGTACTGCTTTGTAGACAAATGAGATATTTATTTCTCTCAGTGTTTCACCTTGTATAGACTAATTTATGTTTGTTTTCAATATACTCTTCTGTGTGGGATTCTTGGTGCTCTCTGAGCTTGGTTGTTGTTGTTCTATCAATACTCTTCCACCTATTTTGGCCATGTATGGTACTGGAATGCCCATTCATGCCTCATTGGAATTTGGAATTTGTCAAAAGCGGTTATCTAAGGGAAGTAATATTCTAAAAGAGTGGCAGTAGGAATATGATGACAGGAGATCTGGAACATGTCAAAATAATACATTTAGGATCTAATATTTTTTTTGCATATTCTTTGCATAAAGGAATGGAAGAGGGAAATTTATCTCAAATATGTCTTCCCTAATTTTACCCAATTCATGCTATAAAATCCATGCTATAAAAGAAGAAGTTTATTTGTAGTCCCCCTGCTGGATTTCTTTTTCAGTGCAGTGCCCGTGAGCAGGGCCTTCCCAGTGGCATCCCCATGCTGTCTTCAGGTTGATAAACTGAGGACAGGCCTATTCACCCAGGCTATTCAAAGTATCTACCTTTTAAATCACTTATTAGATTACCTGTCCTTCTTATATATTTATCATTTATATGTTTATTGTTTCTAACCATTTTTGTTTTTTCTGGTAGTTTTAAGACTTGGTGTTGTTTCTGTTTCTATAATCATAATTTGATGGATTAATGTTGCTTTTAAGAATTAAAAAATTCTGTGTTGGTCTCCTCGTGGTTACTACGATAGTAAAGAATTGCATGCTTCAAGGTCCACTGCCTTGTGAGCTTCAGTTGTATATTGTCCAGGATCATCTTCTGATAGGACTTTGATGCAATTATGCCCTTGTAATTGTAGAAGAACATTGGTACGGAGTTCTTGCTCCGATGTCTTTGTCTGGAAATAATTTCCTTGGGGATTGGTTGATTGATTGATTGATTTTATATGGCCACCCATCTGGGCAGCATACACATTTCCATTCTGAAGTGTAGCATGACCTGTGCTGCCAATGGTTTTGTGCAGACTCACTCTACTTGCATCCTGAAGTCATAACATACCTACTACATAGAAACTCACAATTTCTTTTGTGTTCCAAAATAAGATTTTAATTAAAAAAAAAAGATGGTACAATGCTAGGTTGCATCTTGTCCTTTTGGCTCTCTTTGTCTGTCCCTGCCTCTCTTTTTGTGCCATTTGTAATATTGTCTCTATGTACATCAGAAACCTCCATTTGTATCTTGCAAGTGGATTATCTCTTTTTTCCCCCCAATTTTCTCTTTTTAGCTGCAAAATGTTCTCTAGGTCTTATAACTTTTTTTATTTTTCTCTTTCTCCCTTCCTCCCTCTCTATAGGGTACTTCCTCCTTTGAAATGACTGTCCTATTGACCTCTGTTTCAAATGCTGATCTTTTTCCTTACATTTTCTATCTGCCAAGGCTTTTGCTGCAAGAGTTGAAATGGCTTCAAATGTTACCATAGGTGTGGCACCATCTTCTTGCGACTTTTTTTTTCTTCTCTCAAAGACAAATTTGTAGAGGAACATGCTATCGTTCCATGTCTTTCTATATACTGGATAGTGAAGTTGATTGGATTTAAGCAGAAGCTTTAAGAAAGTAACAAAATAGGTGGGAGATATCTTGCCCTATGCCTGAAAGCATCCAAGCCTTTGACAAGTTATTTGGTGGATAAATGTTGAACAATTATATTCAATTCGACTTCATGTTTTCTCATGGATGTAGTTTCATTGTTTTTTTTCTAACAGTGGTATATGATGGAAGTGAAGCTTGCATGAGAATAAAGGAAATACCTAGCAAATGGTTTAACACTGGAATAAGACAAATGCATGATGTCCCCTTGTTTGTTTGATTTATTTATGGGTAGGCACAAAAGGCATTGTGCAAAGTTATTAGGGGACACAAATGTGCATACACTTTAGTATGCAGACAGTGCCTCCTTGTTGGCTGAGAACCCAAAAGATTTGCAGCAAATGTTAAATGAAAGGATGCGATCAATTCTGTAAAATAGTTCTGAAAATTAGTGTAGTAAAAATCAAGGTAGTTGTTTTTGGCACAGACAATTGAGTGAATGACTGCAAACTTTATATTGATGGCAAAAATTAGAGTAGGTAGATGCATTTTATCATGGTAGAATGTTTATTAAAGATCAAATGGATGGAAACATTTGAAAATTATTAAATATTGGTAGAAAAGTAGGGAATAATAGGAGGTCTTTTGAGCAATGTTGGGCTTCAGAGTTTAGTGACCATGGTCAGAAATTCTGAAACCCAACACTGTTCAACAGATACCAGCCATGAAATAGGTCAGGAGTCCACAACCTATGGGTCGTGGTCAACTACCTGTCTGTGGCCTATAGGTGATCTATGGTGTTCTTGGTGCTCTCTGAGCTTGGTTGTTTGCTTGCAGACATTTCTTTACCCAACTAGGTAATATTATCAGCGCTAGTGACTGTGGCTTTGCTTCCTGTTTATATACAGTAGCTTGTCCTTCCAGTGTTGCTGGAGATGTGGTTTTCTAAGGAGAAAGATATGGAAAGAGATAGTGAATGGGAGTGGTGTTCTCTAAATTACTGCATTTCTTTTACTTTCCCCTTATTTCAAATTTCAAATTTATTTTTGTTTATTACTCATTCCTTTCCTACACTTTGCATATTATTGTTTATGCTGAAAGTGAATAATGTGATAGGTACATATGTGGATAAAATGTTACATTACTCTTCCACCATCTATCTAGCCCAGGGGTAGGCAACCTTGGCTCTTTTATGACTTGTGGACTTCAACTCCCAGAATTCCTGAGCCAGCTATGCTGGCTCAGGAATTCTGGGAGTTGAAGTCCACGAGTCATTAAAGAGCTAAAGTTGCCTACCCCTGATCTAGCCCATAGAAAGGAAACCAAATATTTTTGCATCTGTAGTTTTATTGTTTGTTTAAATCAGGTGTGGGCAACCTGCAATCCTAGGAGTACAGTGCAGCTTTTGAAAGTTTTCTTTGTCTTGAACTCTTCACCAAAAAAA